ACTTTTCAAAGAACCAGAAATCTTCACTTATTTTCCTTCATGTTTATATAAAATATTAACTTAAAGTAACTTTCACAGCTATTTCCTTATTGGTCATCACCATCCCATTTTGATGGCTGAGCACAGCAGGACAATTATTAGCATGTCCATACCACCCCCTCTCCCTAAAAAATACCCCCCAAGCTCCCCAAATAGATTGAACATCAAGATCCTGATTCCCAGGCTCATTCCAATCTCCTCCAAACTGCACTGTGTTCCCCTTTTCTACGACACAATTTTAATTCCAAACGGACTTTCATTTTCTACTCAGCAGGTTTAAAAGTATTTTCCTCTCATGCCAACTGTTGTATATTCAATGATTTTAAGTGAACCTTTATGATAGCTTGAAAAATTAATTAGAAAGCTCAATAACCTGCAAATTGTTTATTGAATTTCAAACCAAAATGAAAAATTATCGTTATTAGGCTTAGTATTTATTTTTCTTGTTATTCTTCTCCCCTCTGCTATATATAACTGAGAGTTCACTGAATTTTGTGACATTATTAAAATTTTTCAGTGATTAGCCTTTATGGAACTCAATTAAAATAGTGTAACTGAAAAAAAACACAACCTACACCTACATCAAAAGTTTAATTATATATATACTCTTTGGTACTAGATGTTGATGAATGGCTCATATTTTAAATATCCTGGTAGAAGATTTGGTAGAGTAGTAAGGAATAACAGAAAAGTTTTAGAAAGAATGAGAAAAGCCATTATTTAAAAGCAGATATCCACAATAACAGCGTGAAACCACAGGATTATGGCTACAATCTACAGAAGTGGTTTCAAATGCAGTCTTTGGTGAAAGTCTTTTTTGATGGGAGGGGTTGTTTTTCCTTTTGATTCCTGCTGCAAAGACATGAAAAACATTTCATGGTGTCACAAACAGATGCTCTTAGAGAAACTACGTAAAGCTGGATCAGTGCAACCTGTGGAAACTTATCATAGTGCTGCTGCAAAGAGCAGAGCAGCAATTTGGACATTAGATAGGAACTTCCTAAAGCCCACTGATTCACGGTGACATAGTGTCATTAATATATGTGCATTAGCTTCCTAGGGCTGCTGGTAAAAAACTACCAGAAACTGAGTGGTTTAAAAAGACAGAAATTTATTCTTCTACAGGCTAGAAGTCCAAGTCAAGGTGCTGGCAGGGCTGCGCTGCCTTTGGGACTCAGGGGAGAACTCGTTCTTTGCGTCTTTCGGATTTCAATGGCTGCCCTCATTCCTTGACTTGTGGCAGGTGGCATGACTCTGGCCTCTGCCTCCACCATCACATTGCCTCTTCCTCTTTTGTGTGTCTCCCTCTGTGTGTGTGTGTGTGTGTCTCTTTCAAACTCATCCTTACAAGGATACATGTGTTTGCTAATCCGGGGAGGCTCCTTCAAGATCCTTAGCTTAACCACTCATTTTGCCATACAAGGCAACATGCACAGGCTCCACGAATTTGACCTGGGATATCTGCGGTCCATTTTTGGCCTAGCACAATATGTATGGTGAAACTGCATGGTAGGACCTCCCATCTGCTCCAGTTAGCCTTTGACTAGGTATAATCTATCTTGTCAATAGTAAATTTTGAACTTGTGTAAGGTTGGCTCCCCTGTCTGAAATTATCCAAGAATCATTGACTCATTATCTCCTCATGTACTGGTATGAAAAATAAGAGGTACTCTTATTATTACCCATGCAGTTAGAGCCCCCAAATGCCTGCCAATGATGTGATTCTCCATAATTCCTGCTCTTTGGTCATCAAGAGTGGATGATTACTGAATACAATATCCTTCTTGGGATGTAAATATTCTAGAATGGTGGTTGAGAAGATGAAACATGAGTAGGTAGACAGTAAAGTCATTTTATTTAGATACCTAAAGTCCAAATAACCACATTTCAACTTTATATGCATTTAATTACTCACATTTAAAAGGCTATTGATGTGACATATGAGTAAGATACTAGCACTGAGATGTTGGGTTATGTATGTAAACGAGGTTAAGGCCAGGTTCATATGACTTATGTATTTGATATGTAAGAGTAAGTGTCACAATTAGAACTGGTTTCCACTTTCCTAGTCTGAGAAGTTCTTTCTACATAAATGTTTCTTACGTTTTGATTTCTTTCTTGGCATGTGCTGTGGTCTGAATATTTGTGTCCTCTTCAAATTCATATGCTGAAATCCTAATGCCCAATGAAATGGGATTAGGAGGTGGGGGCTTTGGGGGTGATTAGATCATGAAGGCAGAGCCCTCACGAATGGAGTAGTGCCTTTATAAAACAGACCCTAGACAGCTCCGTAGGCCCTATGTGACAATACGGCGAGAAGTGTACAACCCAGAGCAGGACCTCACGAGAACAAGACCATGCTGGCAGCCTGGTCTTAGATTTCCAGCCTCCAGAACTGTGAGGGATGTTTGCTGTTTATAAGCTACCCAGTCTGTGGTGTAGTAGCTCAAATGGACAAAGACAGCATGAATGAGAGACTTTTCTACTCTAGCCCACATCGATCTTTCCCTTTAAAAGGAACATGGAATTAGGAGTCAGAAAACCTGCCACTTGCTAACTGCAACTTGAAAACAATTCCCTTTTCTTGTTCTCAACTTTTTAATCCATAAGATGGGAAACCATGTAAATATCAATGTCACAGAATTGGTGTGTCTATCAAATGAGATAACACATAAGGAAGTGCACTTTAAATTGTCCTTATGTAAATAGTATTACAGTCTTCATATCACATGGCCATGTGACCTGATCTTCCATCTTTGGCATTCAGTCTAGTGCATGGCTATATGGTCTTGTATGTTTTTAGTGTATAAGTATTTTTCTTTTCTACCAGGTTATTTGGTGTTTAGTGGCCCAGGCTATGTATTACACATTTCTTGTAGCCACTTGCACTATAACACTTTCAATGTCCCTGGGCCAGCAAGCTTTTATTTGGGTAAAGGTAAGAACTGTGGCTGTGCAGTGTGAGGCTTGGATGCTTGCTCTTTGCTTGATGGCAAAGTTCTCAAAGTGTGATGTATAAAGGATCATACAACGAGCTTGGTAAAAATGACCATTCCTTGGCTTTAACCCCATAACTCTATGTTAGTAGATGTGAGACAGGGACCAGGAATCTGCATTTTAAATGGAATAATGTGGCTTATTATCATGTTTATATTGGTATATCTTTTAAAAAGTGAAAACATCAAAAAATAAAGAAAACACATTATTTGATAGTTACATATATTGGACAAGAAGTCATGTTAAGTAATTTTTAAAGAAAAATATATTTATATCCACCATTTTGACATGTACCTTCTGGTCTTTTTGTGTAACTCTGTCTGGTATAGGTATTGATAACAATGCCAAGAACTAAATTACATCCTCACTCACATTGGAAAGATACAGCGTTTGCTCCTTGATTAGGGTGTTATCCTTATTGTGACTTTTGTCTTCCCAATTGACAGTTTGCCTGGAACTTTCATTTAGTTGCACAATTTTAGCTACAATTGTGGCCCAGTGATTCACATGACTTCTGTGAAGCTGTGGTTCATTTACAGTAGACTCTGAATCTCTCCCCCCAGCCCCTCCCCCTCTGTCTCATAGATTAGTATGGATACATATTTTTTATCTTCACCAAAGGACAATTTTTCATTGCTTCCTTTAGATTTCTCTTTATCAGTTAAGCTCCCTCTGTTGAACTAGAAGAGAGGAGGTGGTTTAAAAGGAAAGCAGGCAGACAATATGCAGCCAAAGGTGTTCTTGGATGGGAGGAAATTGAATCCGGGGTTGTTGATTTAAAACATCTCCTAGAAGTTTGATTTTGCAGCAGTGTGGGACGTGATGCTGGCATTCGGAGCAGACACACTGGAAGAACCAGTACCTACTGTGTACCAGCTCTTGTGCTGATTGCTGTGCTCTACTTGTTCCTGGTCGCCTGTTCTCATGTCCCACACCCAGCAATGCCTGACAGATGCCCGGCATTCCTGTTGTTATATTTTACCCAATAGGGTAATGATTATACATCCATCTTGACAGTCAAATGCTTCCATTCTAGAATCATTTTTATTTTGGAGAATTGGGTGCCATTACTTAGAAATTTTAGGCACAGAATGGAGCTATTTATGAGGACATATCTGGTAGATAAGGGCTTTAGACTTAAGACATCTCTTGCTAAGACTCATCCTTTGTTTTTGAATTTTTATTAAATTTATTGGCATGACAATGGTTAATTAAATTATATAGGTTTTAAGTGTACATTCTATAATACATCATCTGTATATTACATTGTGTGTTTATCACCTAACATCAGATCTTCTTCCATTACCATATATTTGACCTCCCTTTCCCTCTGGTAACCACCACACCATTGTCTTTGTCTACAAAGACAAAGTTTCATTTTGTCTTGAGTTTCATTTTTATACCCTACATATGAGTGCAATCACAGGGTTCTTGACTTTCTCTGTGTGACTTATTTTGCTTAACAGGATATTCTCAATGTCCATTCATGTTGTTGCAAATGGCAGTATTTTATCTATTCTTGTGGATGAGCCCTACTTGGATTTTAAAATAGGACTTTGCATGTTACCGAGAGGACTCTTCTAAGTTGTCTCTATCAAGTTTAGAGTAAGATGTGATAAAAGTCAGCTTTATTTTCACCACTGAGCCTTTGTTAATTCATGACTGAGAGGAAGTGAAAAGTCAAGACATATTTTTCTTTCATTGCCACTAGCTGTAGTAGTCAGCCAATAAGTTCATTGTACTCTTGAAATGCTTACATGTTGCTTGACAGATGGGCCATAGTGTTAATAATGGTAATTATACATTAAGTGCTGTTGAGGGGAGGCTTTTTGATTCAGATATCAGACTCAAGAGGTGAGAGGCTGGTGTGTAAATAAAGTGAGAGGGGAGATAACTAACCTTAATAGAAGACTTAAACCCCTGCCCCCACCAAAGACTTCAGAATATATTAAATTAAGACTTACATTAAATCTTGAATTACTCGTTTGCCTGGATCGTTTTTCTGCCAGTAGATCTTTGACTGTGTGCTTCACTCTCACGCCTTGATACACTCGTTTGCTGTAGTCTCCTGGGACTTAAGAAAATAGAATAGTAACAATCAAATGTGGATGGACTAATTAGGTTAACCTCTGGAGGGAGGTATTCAGAGTTGACAATTATGATGCTATTTTCTCATTAGAGTAATAGATTTTTTTATCCTTACTTGAAGATATATTTTTTATTGGCTTTATGGAGGGGAGAGAGAGAGAGAGAGAGAGAGAGAGAGAGAGAGAGAAACAGAGACAGAAAGAGAGAAATATGGGTGTTAGAAAGAAACATTGATTGGTTGCCTCTATACATGCCCTGATGGGGATCAAACCTGTAATCTAGGTATGTACCCTGACTGGGAATTGAACCTGCAACCTTTTGGTATATGGGACAATGCTCCAGCCAACTGAGTGGCCAGGGCAATGGATCTGAATTTGAAGAGGCTTCAAAAAAGGTCATTTATTCTTATCTCCTGGTCCTTAATGGAAACTCATCCAAGCTTTGATTAAGAAACACTACTCTATCTCCTACACAACAACTGTTCTAAGTATCCTCTTTTTTGTACTCTGGTTTGTCAAGATTTACTCAAGGAAGACTTAAAATTTATGTTTTCATTGCATGATCATGGATTGGATACAAGTGGAAATAATGCTCCTTAACACATGATGCAAAAGTTAGATTTGCATGATTTAGGTTACAGCGTTATGGTATTCCTGCTGCATCCTGCTGCTACCTGATGTGGGTGACCATGTCAACTGGACTGTTTTAGGAAGATTATGTTCTTAAGGAGACAGTTATTTGTTTCTGTATGTATTTTTTTTTTATTTTGGAAAATATACTGATTCAACATGAAGAGTTGCTATTTTAAAACTAGGCCAAGGATAAGGGAAGAGTCATTCACTCATTTAACAAATATTTATTGAGCACTTTCCACATGTAGTTATTGAATATAGTATGATATTTGACAATTTACATGTATTACTTCATTTGATCCATTTTACAGATGAAGAAACTGAGGTTGGGGACTAAGTTTTTTGCCAAGGTCTCATACTTACTAATAACCAGACTTAGTCACTGCGATCCAGGCATAGGTCAAGTTGTAGCTCTAACAACCTGAGAGTTTCCTGCTTTTATTCTGATGAAATTACAGAGACATAACAGATGATAAGAGAAAATATTTCCCCAACATTCTGAAATTGTCAACACTGCTTTTGGGAATAGTGAGTTATTGTCACTAAGGATGATCAAAGAAAGACAGGAGACCCTTTTTTTTGGATTATTACAGAAAACATTTAAGCACTGAATTAGTAGTTAACTAGAAGGATTATAAGACATTTTCTAACTCTGATAATGTTGTTCTATAGAAGGTTGGGTGGGTTTGATTCATTGAGGTGTTGCTGGCTTATCAGCAATTTCATCAGCACAGACTTCAGCATCGTGAGTCTGGCAGACCCTACTATCATATGTATATATTGGGTATCTAACCAAACTATTATCCAATCTGGCTGAGTTTGTAGGTAGTCTGGCATGTATCTGATTTATAAGCCAAAGCTCATTACAAAGATAGTGAAAGGAGGGAGGAAAGGAAGAAACCAAACCCAAACCAGAGGCAGAGTGATGTGCTGGAACAAAAGGCTGCTGGCCCAGGAGTCTGTGCTACACAGCCACGTGCTAGTCACTGACTTGGGACAATCCTCATGGTTTGGCCTCATTGTCGTCATCTGTAAAAGGGGTATAATCACTCCATAGTTGACTTCAGAGTTTTATAATGTATGTATATGAAAATGCTCTGAAAACTACCAAATTTCATATGAAGCACCTGTATAAAATGGAGAAAAAAATCTAGGTTCCAAGACAATGTATTATTTGATACAAATAATGCACACATAGCCTAATTTTAGCAAAACAAAGTTATTTGAATGGTCCTTTGGGTCTAATTTTGACAGGATTTGGACTATATATCTTTTTAAAATTCTTTATTTATTTTTAAAATATATTTTATTGATTATGGATTACAATTGTCCCATTTTACCCCTTCACTCCCCTCCACCCTGCACACCCCCTCCCACCCACATTCCCCCCTTTAGTTCATGTCCATGTGTCATACTTATAAGTTCTTTAGCTTCTACATTTCCCATACTATTCTTGCCCTCCCCCGTCTATTTTCTACCTACAGTCTATGCTACTTATTCTCTGTACATTTTTCCCCTCTCACACCCTCCCACTCCGTTGCTGCTAACCCTCCATGTGATCTCCATTTCTGTGGTTCTGTTCCTGTTCTAGTCGTTTGCTTAGGTTGTTTTTGTTTTTGTTTTAGGTGTGGTTGTTAATAATTGTGAGTTTACTGTCATTTTACTGTACATATTTTTTATCTCCTTTTTTTAAGATGAGTCCCTTTGACATTTCATATAATAAGGGCTTGGTGATGCTGAACTCCCTTAACTTGACCTTATCTGAGAAGCACTTTATCTCCCCTTCCATTCTAAATGAAAGCTTTGCTGGATAGAGCAGTCTTGGATGTAAGTCCTTGCCTTTCATGACTTGGAATACTTCTTTCCAGCCCCTTTTTGCCAGCAAGGTCTCTTTTGAGAAATCAGCTGACAGTCTGATGGGAACTCGTTGTAGGTAACTGCCTCCTTATCTCTTGCTGCTTCTAAGATTCTCTTTTTAATTTTAATCTTGGGTAATGTAATTATGATGTGCCTTGGTGTGTTCCTCCTTGGGTCCAACTTCTTTGGGACTCTCTGAGCTTGCTGGACTTCCTGGAAGTCTATTTCCTTTGCCATATTGGGGAAGTTCTCCTTCATTATTTGTTCAAATAACTTTTATACTTGTTGTTCTTCCTCTTCCTCTTCTGGTACCCATATAATTCAAATGTTGGAATGTTTAAAGATGTCCTGGAGCTTCCTAAGCCTCTCTTCACTTTTTGTGAATTCTTATGTCTTCATTCTTTTCTGGTTAGATGTTTCTTCCTTCCTTCTGGTCCACTCCATTGATTTGAGTCCCATTTCCTTCCCACCACTATTGGTTCTCTATACATTTTCCTTTATTTCACTTAGTGTAGCCTTCATTCTTTCATCTAATTTGCAACCAGATTCAACCAATTCTGTGATCATCCTGATTACCAGTGTTTTGAACTCTGCATCTGATAGGTTGGCTATCTCTTGGTCACTTAGTTGTATTTTTGGGGGGGCTTTGATCTGTTCTTTCATTTGGGCCATTTTTTTTGTCTTGTTGCGCCTGTTACATAGTGATGGGTGGAGTCTTAGGTATTCACCAGGGAGGGACAACCCTGTCACCGGGTTTTGATGCTATATGTGGGGGAGGGGTCCGAGAGGGAACAATGGTGCTTGCGCCTCTCTCTGTCAGATTTCAGTCACTTCTGCCACTTCCCCCAAGCAAATTGGGCCCTTCTAGTGCTGATTCCTGTGTGGTTGGGTTTGTGTACATTCTAGGACCCTGTGGGTCTCTCCCATGAACTCTTCTGTGAGGCTGGGAGTTTCTCCTGCCACCTCAACCCTTGCAGGTGTTTTCAATTGGTGTTTTGAGGCTTTATTTCCCTGCACTGGGACCCTGGGTTGTGAGATCTGTCTTGCTCCCCAGTTTCACCTGGTTTATCTGTGCGCAAATGTGGGACCTCCTGGTCTGCCAGTCACCTTGTCACCGCACCCTTCCACCCTTGTCTGCTGCTTCTCTGGGTCCACCAGCTGCTGCCTAGCACACTTGGGTCTGCCAGTCACAGCTTTGCTGAGACCCCTCTCCACTCGGCCACCTACCAGTTTGGATGAATGTGTCTACTTTAATTTCTTGGTTGTGGGACTTCCATACAGTTCAATTTTTTCTCAGTACTGTTTTTTTTTATTCACTTTTAGAGAGGGAAGGGAGGGAGGGAGGGAAGGAGGGAGGGAGAGAGAGAAAGAGAGAGAGCGAGCGCGCAAGAGAAACATCAATGTGCCGTTGCTGGGGGTTATGGCCTGCAACCCAAGCATGTACCCTGTCTGGGAATCGAACCTGCGACACTTCGGTTCACAGCCCATGCTCAATCCACTGAGCTACACCACCCAGGGCAGTACTGTTTGTTTTTTGTTTCTAAATTATTGTTGTCCTTATTTTGGTTGTGTGAGGAGGCACAGTGTGTCTACCTATGCCTCCATCTTGGCCAGAAGTCCTTGGACTATATATCTTTTAATTAAAGTAGTTCGAAGTACACCTTTCAAATCAGCCTCAAATTTAAAGCTTAATGACCTTACGGATTTTCCAAAGGAATTTAAGTGTTGCTCCTAGAATTATGTGTGATATCTTATCTTTTAGAAAAGCTTAAAGCTGTATTTATTCATCAATTATTTATTGAATGTTTTCTGTGTCAGGCATTGTGTCAGAACTGAGGTATGAAAGAACATGCTCTCAAGTGGGAGGAGAGAAATACTTAGAAAATAATTATAATACAATGTGCTAAGTACAATAAGAGAAATATGCCCCGGATTGTCAGAAAAACAGGCTGTGTCCATTCCTCTGCATGTGGGCGGGAGTTAGGGAAGGCAGGGTGACACCCGAGCTGAGGCCAGGGTTATGTGGAGATGGCAAAGTGTGCAGGGATGCTCAGGCATAGAGGGCAGCATGGGCGACAGCTGCAGGCAAGGACAGAAAGGAGGGTGAGGGATGATGTGGCAGGCAGTGCATCTGGGGAAATAAAATGAGTGGGGCTCTGTCATGAAGTTCCTTGTGTGACGGAGTTTGGACTTCATCCTGTTGACACGGAGGTCACAGAGGCACTGGAGGCTGTTGAGCGTGGGGGTGTTGTGGTTAGATTTACATTTTAGATAGACATATCTGGCAGCTCTGTGAAGGGTGGACTTAAAGATCCCCAAACCACAGGGAGATCAGGCAGGAAGATTCTAGAATATTTCAAGCCAGAGATAATGGGGTCTGAGTAGCAGTAGTATAGGAGAACAAGGAGCAGATGGATTTGGAAGTTATGTATATGTGGGAGGGAAAAAAGAGGGAAAATTCAAGGATGATTCTCAAGCTTCCTCCATGGGTTTTCTG